GCCCGCTCCCGCCGGTGGGCTTCTCGGTCTCCCCGCCCCCGTGCTCTGTTTCTCCCTCCTCCTGGCCCGTGAGGACCCCTCCCTCGCTGCCGCTCCCCGGGCGTCTGCGGCCTGTGCCCCGACTCCTAACTCCCGTGTCGTCTGTTCCCGGCCGCTCCTGCGTCGCTCTCGCCCTCTCGGGCTCGCTGTCTCTGCCTCACCAGGCGCGGCCTCGGGCTCTCCCTCCTCTCGGCCCCTCTTCGCCCCCATCTCTCGCTGCCCCTCCTCCTGCGGACTGGGGTGTCCTGGGGGCTCCCGACCCGCGGCTCTGTCTCCCACTCTCCCTTCTGCCTGCTTTCCAAAGTCCTGAGCGCTTCTGGCCGCCCACCCTGAATGTTTCCTGCCCGGGGGGATCACCTACCCTGACTCAAAACGACCAGCACCTCATACATTCTCGTGTCACAGGGCTGGAGACCTGGGCTGTATTTCCCCCAACCTTATCACCAGGCCTGGGAGCAGCTGGTTCCATTTTCAGAACCAAATTCCTCTTCCAATCCCAGAGTACCAGCAGCAGCAGCAACAACAACAATTCTAGCTGTGTTTTTGAGGCATAGGTGCTTGGCGTTGCTAAACACTTTACACGTAGTATAATCTTCAAAACAGTCCCGCGAGTTTCTCTTCTGATTCACCTCGCTTTTCAGGGGAGCCAAGTGACTTGCCTAAGACCTGGTCGCAGGCAGTGGACTGCCTGGGTCCAGCGCCTGCATCTTTTAGTGGCTGCCCAGGCCCAGTCTCATCAGAAGGGTAGGAGCCTTGAAGGCCCAGAGTCTTGATCACCCTGGAGATCTTGCTGAACAATTGTGCTTCGCTTTTCCTGTACTGTGGTTTGACCCCAAAGAAATGGAAGGCAACGCTGGTGTCCACTCCAGCTCCTGCTCCCAGTGTAGTGAGGGCCACTTGCGGTAGGCTGTGGGACAGACACACACAGATAGCTTGGCAGCTGGGGGCACAGCCCCGGCCTGGCCACTCTTGGCGTGAGGCTCCATGAACACTGGCAGACAACGCCCCAGAGATCTTGGCAGAAGATCAGAGCCAGTCCACCCAAACTGCTCCATTTCACAGATGGGGTCACTGAGGGCTCAGGACTAGGGGTGCCTGGGTTAGGCAGCCCAGCACATCGAAGTAAGGACTGGCATAGGCATGCAGGTGTCCCAGCATGGACTCCACCATGGCTGGCAAGACCCTCTTGTTCTGACATCTCTGCTCTCCGTCTTCCCCACAGCCCCATCCCTCTCCCTCTTAACCCTAGAGAATTCAACACCTTATAGCATTTCACAGACATCTCAGGCATCTCCCACTCGGAGTCTTTTGTGTTGTACGCCCTCTGTGGAATGCCAGCTGATATCCCATCCCTCTTCTCGACTGACACATTCAGGATTTAGCCCTGGCATGCCTCTCCTCCAGGAAGTCTTCCCTGATTCTCAGGCCAGGTCCAGCACTTCCTCTGGGCATCCACAATCCCTTTATCAATGGATAAAGTGCCTGGCCCTTCCTTTAAGCTGTCAACTTTTTCCAGCCAGAAATAAGGTCATATCTGGGCACCTGTATTGGGGGAGGGGTGCTGGGGCAGGTACCCTATGGCTAGTGATGCTGGTGGCATGCCTGGGAGGTGTGTGCCCCAGGGGGGTGAGTTAAGGAACCACTGTCACAAGTAGATGAAGACAACTATCATGGCTGAAAGACACTAAGTTTACAACATACATTCCTGATCTGCAAATTGTTCTTCATGGAGTAGCCAGGACGCAGATTCTTTCTTGGTGTTCTACCCTCTGTACCTGAGGGAAAGCTCACTGAGAAGAGGCACAGAGCTTGTCTACCCATATTCCACTGGCCAGGACTCAGTCTTGTGGCCGCACCCAGCAAGAGCTGGGTAGTCTAGCCTTTGTCTAGCAGGAAAAGCAAAAGGATTTGGTGAACACTGGCTGCCTGACCACATGGGGCCACCCTCATTTCCTGCCACAGTGATACAGTAGCTCTTGCCTGTGTCTGCTCTGGCCCTTACAAGCTCTTCTTTCTAAGCAGTCAGGTATTTTGATATCTTCCGCCTGGTGAAGCTCAAACTCCTCTTCAGAGCTTCAACAGCTGCATGATGGCCCCCGCTAGGTGGCCATCAGCTGGCGCTAGTTTGCCAAGGATTGTGGGGTTTCCTGGGATGCAATACTATCTCATGTAGTACCTCACATAACCATCCCCACAATCAAGACACTTAATTGTACCATCAGCACAAGACTCCTTTGTAGTAACCCTTTACAGCTCCACCCTCTCTTCACTTCCAGCTCTCACCCCTAGCATTACTAATCTGTTTTTCAGTCGGGTAATTATGTTGTTACACAGATATTATATAATGGACTCATGCAGTATGTATCCTTTTGAGATTGGCTTTCTTCACTCAGCATGATTTCATTGAGATTCATTCCAGTTTTTGAATGCATTAGTTGGTTGTTTTTTAACTGCTGAGTAGTATTCCATGGCATGGATGTATTCTAGTTTGCTTAGTCATCCACCCACTGAAGAGCATTTGGATAATTTTCAGTGTTTTGGTTATTAAGAATAAAGCCAGGTCAGCATGGTGGCTCAAGCCTGTAATCCCAACACGTTGGGAGATTGAGGTGAGAGGATTGCCTGAGTCCAGGGGTTCAAGACCAGCCTGGGCAACTTGGTGAGACCTCATATCTACAATAAATTTTTTTTAAAAGTTACAAAAAGAGAATAAAACCACTATGCGGATTTGTGTATAGTTTTCTATATATCTTCTTTGATGAAATGTCTGTGCATATCTTTTGTACATTTTTTTTTTTTTGAGTTGGAGTCTCACTCAGTCATCCAGACTGGAGTGCAGTGGCCGCTCCCAGCCACCGCAACCTCGAGCTGCTGGGCTCCGGCGATCCTTCCACCTCAGCCTTCCAAGAAGCTGGAACTACAGGCGCGCGCTACCACGCCCGGCTAATTTTTTGATTTATTGTAGAGATGAGGTCTCGCCAAGTTGCCCAGGCGGGTCTCGAACCCTCAGGCTCAGGCAATCCACTCACTTCATCCTCCCAAAGTGTTGGAATTACAGGCTGGGCCACCAAGCCCGGCTCTTTTGTCCATTTTTTACTGAAATTTTTGTCACTGTTCTGTCTTAAGAGTTCTCTATATATTCTAGACAGAAATTCTTTGTTGGATATTTGATTTGTAAATATTTTCATCTGGTCTATAATTTGCCTCTTACCAGGTCTTTCAAAGAGCAAACATTTTTAATTTTAATGGGGTACATTTTATCAATTTTTTTCTTTTTATGGATCATGTTTTTGGTGTCAAGTATAAGAACTTTCTAGTTCCAAGTCTCAAGGATTTTCTCCGTCTTTTCTAAAAGCTATATAGTTTTACATTTTACATTTAAGTCCATGACACATTTTGAACTAATTTTTGTGTAAGGTGTGAAGTTTAGGTCAGGGCATATTTTGTTTTATTTTTTGCCTGTGAATATCCAATTGTTGCAGTATGATTTGATGTAAAAGCTATCCTACCTTCATTAAGTGACTTTTACTCCCGTGTCAAAAATTAATTGGGCATATTTTTGTGGATTTATTTTGGGGTTATCTAGTATGTTCTGTGGACTATGTGCCTTTTTGTCTGGCAATATCACACTCGTTTGATTACCATAACTTTATAATAAATCTTGAAATTGGACAGACTGATTCTTCCTACTTTATTCATTTTTTTCCCCAAAATTATTTTAGCTATTCTAGTTCCTTTGCCTTTCCATATTTATTTTTAGGAGAAAACTTGTTTCTATCTAAAAAAGGAAATCTTGCTGAGAGTTTGCTCAGAATTGCACAAAATGTGTATAACAATTTGAGAAGAATTGACATCTCTACTATGTCGAGTCTTCTAATCCTTGAACATAGTATGTTGTTCCCTTTATTTAGGCCTCTTTTGATTTTTAATAAGTATTTTGTCATTTTCAGCACATAAGTCCTGTACATGTTTTGTTATATTTGTGCCTAAGTATTTCCTTTCTTTTTCTCTTTTAGAAATTATAAATGATACTGTATTTTTAATTTTGTTGTACGTGTGTTCATTACTGGTATACAGAAATAAAATTTATTTTTGTGTATTGATTTTGTATCCTGCTACTTTAGTGAGCTCAATTATTAGTTCTAGAAGTATTTTTGTAGAGTTCTTGTTTTTTTCAACATAGACAATCGTACCACCTGCAAGTAGGAACAGTTGTCTTTCTTTCCGGTATTTGTGCCTTTTATTTCTTTTTATTGCCTTATTGAATTAGCTAGAACTTTCAGCAGTGTGCTGAATAAATGTGGTGAAAGTGGACATCCTTGTCACATGTGAGAGTGGACATCCTTGCCACCTTCCCATCCTTGTCTTAGTGGGAAAGTATTCGGTCTTGTACCATTAAGTATGATTTTAGCTGAAGGTTTTTGATAAATACTCTTTATCAAGTTGAGGAAGTTCCTCACTAATGCTATTTTTCTGAGAGTTTTTATTATGAACAA